CAACCAAGATGGTGAAATAAAATCAGTTTTGGCTTCAGCCTCTGCAGGAAAAGCGGTGAAGGTGCAAGCTTTCCTCTTGAGAAAGATTACATCTTTTTATGGCGCCACCCAAACTTCAAACAAGACATTTTAACTGAAGAAATAAAAGGAAGACAAGTCCTCTAGTTTATCTCATACCTTGCAATATCTGGACTTACCTTTTACAGATTTGTTTTTAAAATACAGGTGTGTAATGAGGGACTAGAGGCAGATTCTTGTGTGCTTACGCTGAATAATACAGTATTGCCTGAGAAGTCTCATTAATTTCAAGTGGCAAGAGTCACCAGGTAGCTGCTCCCCATGCCAGTGAGAGCTTTAATATGATCTAATATGATGGGGTTTTGGATAAAGGCTCCCCCCCCCCCCACAGTTTTTCTTGATAAATTATTCTAACAATCTGATGAAACCACGTATTTAAATTGCTTTTCAAATGACTGAGCTGACAAAATACTGTTCTTCTGCTTTGCAGGGGGAATTACCCAAGAAAACCGTATAAAACAGGACGACCATGCAGCGGATGCAGTAATGAGAAGTGCATAGACAAGCTCTGTGGTAAGACCAGTGTTCAACCAAGAAAGTTGCATAGAAATAAAACTGGCATAATTATCAGTGGTAATATAACAATGAGCCAGTTTGCACTAAGTACGTAGTGGGTCTGTAGGCCAGTACAGCAACAGTATCAAACCCTGGTAAGAATAGTGTAAGAAGGAATTAATTTAAATACTCTGCTGTTGAAGGCTCTCAGAGGTAGAAGCCAGAGTTTCTGATGAAAAGAAGTATTGGTTAGAATACTTTCTGCCTTTTATCTGATCAGGAAGTCAAATCTAAAACTTTAGCCCCAACAAATACTCCCAGACTGGTTCTTCTTTCCTAGCTGAAATAGTGTATTTAACTTCTGCTTTCTTGCTTTTTTAGTAAGCCTATCACATTTTCCAGACAACTATAGTTCTGAACCAGTAATAAGACTAAACTGAAAAGCACGCTTATTTCAAAGTTCCACAATTTTCTGAAATGCAGCAGCAAGAGCTTGTTTTTCTACAGCAGTCTGCAGCCGTGGACCTTTACTTCATTACACCTAGTCCCAAATCAGTCAGAAATAGTGTTTTAAATAAACAGAGATTAAAGGACATGCAACAATGTCTTAAATCATATACTGATTTTATACAGAGGTTTAAGGGGAATGGTATCTACTAGCCAGGTTCAAGATAGCTTCAGCTGTAGAAATAATCGAACATTTGGTACTCTTATTTCCTTCTGTGATATCCTGGCTGACTCATCTTGAAGTCTGATGCATCACAGGAAAAATAGAAACATCTCAAAGACTAGAGGAAGGGGGAGGAGGAAGAGAGCCTTTAAAAATTAAGTGCTAGATCCTACAACCTGTTTTACCATATTCTCCTATAGGGCAAATTAGCAATTCCAATAGCATGCATGTGGGCAGTCCTACAAATGCAACAAAACTGTTAGTAAAGGTGTACTTCTGTGATAAATTGAGTAGTTATATTTGTCTGTAACTACTTAAATTTGGTTTGTATATCAATTTTAAATAAATTCCATGTTTTGTTTTTATTTGCTATTCCTTCCTCCCCATGACACAAGTTCTTCCTAATACAGCTGCTTCTTTTCTGCTTCTCTTCCAATTCAGTAGAAATTATGAGCCCCACACCAGTTGGGAACCTGCTCTTGTTGGCCTGCTTCCCCCTTGCAGGATGTTTTAGGCACTGACTGGCATTGTCAGTGTGGTCAGCCAGGCACCAGCAATGGCTTACCTCTTTACATTAAGAACCACCACTTATTTCCTCTTCGGATCTCATTACAGAAAGTACAGAACGTGAGAAGCTGATAAGTACGTATCAAAATGTTCTTAATTGCTTTCCTATAAGTATGGCTAAGTTTGATGGGTCTTAACACCTGTTTCTTTACTGTGTTTTAGATTATGCCTACTGGTATCCAGACTGGGATACACAGCCCCAGCCACCACGGCCCCATCCCCCCAGGCCTCCCACGCCACCATACATCCCACCTGCTGAGCATCCACATCCCTCATGTGACCAATATTGTCTTACCGTTTCAATTTTAAGGCCACTGTTTTTGGTACTGAGTGTTGGTGCTGCTCTTCTGGTACAACAGTGGTTTCCACACCCATTTTTTTATGAGTAACAATCAATTAAGATACTGATAGTGATCCTACTGCTGTATTACTCTCAGAGAATTGCACACATTTAAAAAAAACCCACTTGGCTATCTCTCTGTTTCCCTTGTGATGTTTATCCAGCATAGAAAAGGCTGCTTCTTCACTCAAAGCAAGATACAAGTGGCTGTGCATAGAGTTAGTATCATTTATTGTGAGTAGCCGCAACACACTTCTACGTCTGTACAAGCCTCTTAGCTATGGATCAGGGATAGATTGCTACAGGGGCCATGTAGACTATATATTACTATATATGCTGAGAAGCATCCTGGAGGCCTGGGGCATCACAAAGACATGTCTGAAGCAGCACACTGTGTCCAAAAGAAGCAATAACTCATCCCCATTAACCTTCAATTACCCCAGACATCGTTTTCCCCAGATAATGGAGATTTAACTGTATGTATTACTTTTTATGAAAAGAAGGAGTAAAGCTTGTCCCTTACTATGTTTAGCCTATGTGTATCAGTCTCCGTTAAAGTTACTCTATTGTCAGTTGTGCTATTCTGTTCAGAGATAAGCTCTGTCCTCCATGGCTAGAGGGATACCAGGGAAAGTTGATAGAGCAAGGATTAAGATGGGGTGTCAATGGGGAGAGCTTAGGAGTGAGATGGTGACAAAATCTGAAATACAGAGTCGATGACAGCCATCCTGAACTTGAAGGCAGGGGAAGTGGGGGAGCAGGGAGGAAAACCAGGAAAAGGAAGATGAAATGGGCCCAGGACAGATTCTGGTTCAGACATGCAAGATCTCTGCCTTGTTAAAAAAGCCCCAACCATTGATAGATTCAGTTTGTTAGTTTAATTTTAGAGACATTTAGCCCTCGACCCCAATTGTTCCTATATACATTTGTAAGTAAGGGAAACAAACCCATCCTTCAAGCTAAGACATTCTGGCTGATATTGGCAATGCATAACTGTGCTATCAATATTTAAAGCTGTTTCTTCTCCTTTATCTTAGTCCTAATGTTTTGAGAACACAGTGACTCAAATTCTGAGCCACGTTGCAGCTCTGAAAGAGTATAGCATCCCACAGAATAAAAATGACCTCTAGATGTTTGGGCTTTTGTCATATGCTGCAAAATGTCACCATGTAAGAAGATATGCATACTTAATTTCACAACTGTCACTTCTTGTCTGCAGCTGTCTTTTGCATGTAGCAATAGCAGGTAGTAGGCTGGGGGTGGGCAAATGGTTCGGAGGGGACACAGCTGGGACAGCTGGCCTGAATTGACCAAAAGGATATCCTATACCGTGTAAAATTGTGTTCAGCAAAACAACTGGGGTAGAGAAAGAAGAAAGGTGGGAGGATGGCTTCCAGGGCGGCCATTGCTCAGAGATTGTCTGGGTGTCAGCCTGCCATTGGGGGTGGTGAGTGATTGCCTTTGCATCACTTGGGGATTTTGTTTGTTTCCTCCCTCCTCTTTCGGCACATATTAAGCTGTCTTTATCCTGACCCATGATCTTTCTCACTTTTCGTCTTCCCGTTTTCTTCCTGCATCCTGCGGAGGAAGGAGGAGTGAGCAAGTGGCTGTGTGGGTGCTTGGCTGCTGGCAGGGGACAAACCACCACATTATTCTGCTCTAAAGAGTGGTCTGTAGGGGAGCTGTGAACATAGTTTTTCTCATCCACAATTCCTTCAGAGGGCTTTTTTTGCTTGTAAGCAGTCTCCCCATGAATAACTAGAGGTGTGTGACCCACAGGACCTAATGTGTGCTAGTGGGACTGCTGTTGCAGGCTCACTGTGTGACCCTGGACCACCAACCTGAATGTGGCCTTGCCACCAGCCCCAAAACCTACAGGAATTCATGCACAGAAGTGATAACTGGGACCTACACCCACGTGTTCAAAGGATGCAGATTCCTAAAACGAAACCTGGAGTGGGAAGAAACAGAGATGTTCAGGTTGTGACTGTGGGAAAGGGCCTGAGCTTGATGGACAGGTGATAGTTAAGGGCAGTGTGAGGAAGAGGGTGGTGATGGTGGCGGGTCAGACCAGAGAATGTTGGGCACCCGAGGCAACGTGCATGGGACATCAACTCCCAACTACTGGCTTTGAAACCCAGCATGGGTGCTGGGCACCCGACACGAGACAGCACCAGCCTTCGTAGCACCCAACTCTCCTGGGGTCTTGGGCTGCAGTGAATGAATTATGAATTGTTAAAGCTTGGGAGGAGAAATTGGTAGCAACACATAGCACAAGCATGTGATCACAGGAGAAACCCATCAATAACTGCAGCACATTTAAATTGCAGTTCTCAGCCAAACTTAACCCCTCCAATAACTCGATGTACAACCAAAGTGATTGTTCATACTGTAGTAAAAGTTGTCGTTCAAATCAATTCTTTCCTACAGCACTTTGGCTCAGAGTAACAGCCTTAACAGCAGTGCTGTTTCCATGAAAAACAGTTAATTTATCCAAAACTTCAGTTTAGTGATTGCTATGGATGGGATGGTGGGGGCCAAATAAACAAAAACAAGGAAGCCCAAAGGACAAGAGAGAAGAGGCTTGCCCACCACAGTTAAAGAAAGAAGGAAAAAAAGAGAGAGAGAATGCTGCCACAGCTCTGGTGTGAACTTGTAGCTCAGTTTCCTTATTCTCATAGCAACGCTCCTGAAATATGACTCATTTCCTGTGACCAATGCCATACTCAATTACCACAGCTAAGTCCAGCCCACAAACCATCTAAGGAAAGTGCTGCTGGTGGAGCTAAAACCACCTCGTACGGCGGAAACACTCTGCTCTTAAAGCTGGAAGACTAGAGGCTGAGAATCATGACAAGCAGATTTTCTGCTTGTGTGCTGGCTTTACTGCACTTCTGTCGTTCCTCTGACTCGTATGAACGATCGACATTGCCTGGTATTGGAGATCCAAAGTTTATTGAGGAATGTGTGCGAACCCATAACAGATTCCGGTCTGGAGTGAATCCACCAGCCAGCAACATGCTCTACATGGTAAGGGGATGCTCATGACTTACATGCAAGTGTGTAGCATTGCGATGGTGTTTATGATTCTCAAAGATTGTTTTTGTGATCAAATGCAAAAAAAAAAAAAAGGAAAAAAGAAAAATACCACAATCTCCTGGGGTTATAAGAGCTACTTCTCTTTAAAGCAGAGAAAAAGGCTGTGACTATCTGATGGCTTTATGTCATCAAGTATGTGTATAGTTTTGTCTGGCTTAACTTCCTCATTTGAAACCCAATATTTCAACCCTCAACCTAACGCTGTCGTTTTGCGCTGTGAAAAGCCTCCCCATTGCAAGGCACTGCAGCTCAACAGCCTGGGGTGTAATTTATGTGCAGACCTAAGCACAACCTTTCATACTTGAGCCAGCAAGAGCAGAGACCGTTGCCAAATGATGTTGGAGAGCTTTCTCTAAGCTTTCTTTGGAAACGTCTCATGGGCTGAGTCAACAGAGCAGCTGTTCCTAGGTGCTGGGGCTGCAGGGGAAGCCAAAAAGCAACAAGTGCAGCAGGAACAAGCACTGGAGGCATCAGGTCCTGCACTGCTCTGCCCCCCTGCCTTCTCCCTGGCCACATCAGGGGGCAATATCTGCAGCCACCGTGCAAAAGACAGCATGTCATGATTCAAAATATAGCCAAAAGTGGCCACCTCTCGTTTCAGATGGCTCATGACACTTGCCTCCCTGCTGGGTGGCGCATGGGAAACCCAGCAAGCAGGAAGCTGTAAATGCGTGCACAAAGCTTGGCTTATGGCTGAGAAGCCCATCTCTGATTTGTGAGATGTTCAATTCCAGCAGCTTGGGACCTGTCTCTTGCAACATCCATCACCTTTTGTGGTTTGACTGGGTAGTACTTGAGATACCGTGTTTCTTGGGATGATCTCCACAGATCTCTCAGATGATTGTCCTAATTCTGTTCTCTTTCCTTTTCTTCCTCTTTCTTACTATCTTGTACAGTCACCACCAGAAAGAAAATAACCACGTCTGTAATTAGCAACACCTCAAGTGAAGATCCAAAAAAAAAAAAAAAGGCTTATTTTCCATTTCTGGTTGTCAAACACCAGAAAAGTGCCCATTAGGGAGGGGTAAGTGAGCAGTGAACACGCTCAAGTTACAAGCCTGACAGGAAACAATAGTTTCTCTTGTAGATGTGTTTTTTACTTCAGCTTTCTTCAGCCCAGCATCATCAACTTCCAGTACATATTGCTCTAGACTCTGTTTTGTAGATTGCTTTACTGGCCTTACACTAACAAAATCTTGCTATGATGTATTAAAAAAGCAGCATACCTCTTTATAAGTTGTGCCTAATTTTTCCTTTTGAAAAAATAAAGAACTGAAATCTGAAAAAAAATTGCTTAAGAAACAAACAAACAAATAAAGATTACTACAAATAAACCAAGAACTAAATCATAGTAAGTTTCTTTTAAAACACTGCAAAAACCCTAGTCTTAAGTATGACCTCTCACAGGAAGAATTTAATGTGGGGAAAGAAGTACGATAAATGATTAAATCTATTATGAAAGTAAAAGCGTTGGAATTGAAAACAGCACATTTCTTCATATCTGAATGGCCTTTAGCCCTTCAAAAAATGAGGAAAAGAAGATGACTTCTTTATTTCACAGGGAATTTCTGTTTGCTGGAGATAACTGTCCACCTAGATATGTAAAAATGAAGGCTATGAACTCAGGGCATTTCCACCTTTTGGAAAAATAGTTTTTAAAAGAAAATACAAGAAAGAAACTCATTTAACTGCTAGTAACAAAGCCCAGCCATCTATATTTGTAATACATCTATTATAAAACAAGAATGGTGATCTAACTTTTTTTTTACTGAATAAATGTGACCCCTTTCCCATTCCCCTGAAGCATTGCTTACGTCTGTTTCAAGGCTCATCAAAACCAGCAGAAAGAGTCTCACCAGTTTCATCAGGGCTTCACAACAGTTTGCTTTGACTTACTGCTGCCTCACATCCCTTTTTACTTATACATTCAATTTTCCCTCCCTAAATCAGGAAGCAACTCGTCTGAGCTATAAAACCAAAACCGAGTTCATGGGAAGTTTATTTTTTTTAAAAGTCCAATTCAAAATAGTTCAGCAGTGCTGAACAACTTCATTTACATGACACGAAGTGTAACTAGAACTACAGGCATACACTCGTGGTACTGCATTTTCCAGGAGGTACAATACTGTATTTGCTCTATCAAGTTGTGTGCACAAGAAAGCCCAGCAAAAACAGACGCCACCTCCAGTCCAAACAAAAGACATTTATATGACTCAATTGCTTAAATAACCACTTTCTGTAGGATTGAATAGCAAGTGAATGAGTGATTCCACGTAAGTGAAGGAGTGATTCCACATTTATGAATTCAGCACTAACGTTTGAAGCCACCAAACACAAAGATGCAAACCAAGGGGTTGAGTTTAAACTGTCCCAAAGATCCCAATGTGCTTGTGAAATGACCTGCAAGCAGTGGCCTTAATGCATGAGGCTGTATGAGACTCCAGTCTGATTGGTATGGTAAGCATACCCCCCCAAACTCCAGATTTCCTGTAAATTCATTGTTTAAATTACATTAACGTTCTCTCACAGATCGCACAGCCTGGAAATGCACATTGCACCCCAAACACGGGATTTGACTGATGTACAGCTCTTGGTGGTCAAAGAACCAGTCAGCCAAGATCACCCACTGCCCCAAAAACTTCCTCAAGGTTAATGAGTAACTAAGTTCAAATCAGAAATGAACCTACAAGCCAATTTACCATGTAGCTCTGTAAGTCTCAGCAGAAGCAAAAAGAATTCATCCAAAGCACATACGCTACTGAAATGCAGCTTCTCCTGAAAGTTTTTCTGAATTACTGCATTGCTAAGATACCAAAGTGATTTTTAGTTGTCTTTATTTTGCAGAGTTGGGATCCAGATTTGGCAAAGACCGCTAAAGCTTGGGCAAAGAAATGCCTGTTTAAACATAATACGTACCTCAAAGATCCAGGGCAGGCTCACCCCAAATTTACCCCTGTTGGAGAAAACCTCTGGACTGGCTCACTTTCTCTTTTTACTGTGCAAGGAGCCATCACCTCTTGGTACAATGAAGTCAGCGCCTACAATTATGCCACCAATACCTGCAGAAGAACATGTGGCCACTATACACAGGTAGGCATTGCATTTCTCCATCTAAACCATGAACAAGCATTGCCATTTTGACACAGAAACTCTAGATTTCTGTTGAAAGATTCAGTGAACTGTTTTCCAAGTGCTGTAGTCTTATGTCTGTGTGCACAAGATGTTTTTTAGGGAGGAAAAGAGTCACTGCATTATTATTTTAAATATGCCAGTTGTATTTTGTTTCCAGGAAGAAAACAGGACAGCTGTCAAGCAGTCAGATATAGCCAAGCAGTGACCAGAAACCAGGCAATGACAATGGTGGTGGGCTGCAGTGCACGGCAGGACAATGGGCATGGGGAAATACCATCACGTAAAGAGATGTCTGCAGCTCTGCAAGCTTCACGTGCTCATTTTCCCCAAACATGATTGCCAAAGAAAGAGGTCAAAGTGAGGGAGAGGAGCGCCACTGCCATGCAACCCCACAATTGCTAACCACGGCTAACCTGGGAGAGCAGGATGGCTTGCAACCGTGGATCTAGGGATTAGATACTGACCTGAGGCTAAGCAATATTTTCTGCAGAGATACACATATGCATTTAGGACTTGAAGAGATGAGCTGAAGCTAGCAGGGTGTCTGAATGACACCTACAGGTACTTGAGTGCAGAGAAGGTATTTGGATGCAGGAGCCGTGAGAGGTAACAACATATTGCTTTTTGACCTTGCTCACAAGGACATAGCAAGAGTCAGCATCTGGAAACTGCGGTGAAACACACCTTAACTGGTACTAAGGCTCAGTGCTGTTCGCCATATTTTCTGTAGAGGAGCATCCCAGGTGTTTGCACAGGGGAGAACGAGAAAATAAGATCATTCTCACTTGGAGTCAGTGGTGATAGTGACTGTAGCTAGAAACTGCATGTCTGCCAGGTTCGGGAGGCATCCTTGGGTCTGCAGCTTTGGGGAACCCCTTGTTCCTCTCCCTCCTTCCCAGCTGTGGAGAAGATAAATTTCCTCCAGGTACAATTACTACAGTTACCACAACCACATCCCCAGCATATGCCTCAACCGGTGACCACCTGGGATGGGGAGGGTCCTGTGATTTGGTCCGTCACCGTCCTCAGGGATTCAGTTGTCTATGGATGGCATTGGAAGCAGCCTGTGCTCTGCCGCTGAACTGAGAACACCCTCAGGAGCCTGAGGATTGTCCCTTCTTCCCAGAGCTGGCACCAAACAGATGCAAACAGAAAGGGCCAGGCCTCCCTTTTGAGTTGGTGGAGGTGTGAGTGCGTTTCTTCATCCCCTGCGCTGCCAGGATCTCTCCACATCTCTCACACAGTCAGTCGTCACTGCTCTTGTATCGCCCTCAGGTACTGTTGCGCCCTCATCTCCCCTCTGCTTCTCTCACAGGGTTTATTTTTCCAGGACTGCAGCATTTAGCTGCACTGTAATCTTTGAGCTGGTTATAGGATGCTGGATCAAACCAAACGGCTTCTGGTAGACAAGAGGATCACCAGATGATATAATGCCCTCACCTCTAGCTTATCTTAGTCACGGCCGTGATGCTAAAAGGGCAGGACTGCAGCCTGGTCACGCTCCTTCTCCCTGCTCCTCCTGTGACACCAGTGCCTTCGGGCAATTTGCCTATACATCCCTGCTGCATTTAGTACAGGGGCAATCAGCCCTCGTAGGAGCTGCAGCAGATCATGCAGCCTTTTCTGCACAGATTTGATCTAATCTCCCCCAGCAGGAAAGTCAGAAAGCTAATGGATTACCTTGAAGCAAAGGAGACAAACTTCACCTTCTCATTTGCAAGAAAGAAAACCTACCTGTTACAGCCAGTTATTCTTTCTTTCAGAGTCGTTTTATCGAACATCTGGTAAATTGGGCAAAACAATCAGTCGTTTTTCAGAACAAACTATTATTTTGATATCCATCACTGCTGCTTTCCCCCATGAAGCTTGCCTAAGGAGTGCTCCTCAGCCAATTTGTTGTAAAACAGGAGGGCAAGTCTTTTCCGTAATGCTTCAGATGCCAAAGCAAAGCTTTTGTCACTGGCGTACCCGTCTGTCTTTGCAGGTTGTTTGGGCTACAAGCTACAAGGTTGGCTGTGCTGTCCACTTCTGTCCCAGTGTAGCATACTCCTCCATAACCAATGCGGCACACTTCATCTGCAACTACGGGCCAGCGTAAGATCTCTCATTACAAATATTTCACAGGGTTTGGGCCCTACTCCTTCCTTCCTGCAAAATGCAACTTTATTAGATCAGTCCATGTATTCATGTGTCCCCAAAAATGAAATGGGGAAATGGTCCCTAAAATAGAGAAAGAAGTACACCTCTGTCCAACCAGCTTTTTTTTTTTTTTTTTTACTAGGTAAAAAAAGTTCTCTATCTAATCCTTAACTGTTTTCAACTCTGCCATGGGCCAAAGCAAGGTGCATGCACAACTTCAATTCCTAAAGTGAATATACTCCAAAGGATTGTCTTCTGCTTAGACCAAGCAATGAAAGCCTCACCTTGCTGAAAGTAATGAGGTTTTACCACAGTTTAGCACTGCTGAGGTTGTGTGTGTATAAAATCCTTCTCAGTGTGTTTATGGGGAGTTTGAGGTGCACTGCAAATCTCACTTTGGCCGTGCTCCAAGCAAAGCAAAGCACTGAGCTGCGTTTGGTGCAGTATCAGAGGTGGGCAGGTAATACTGAGCCGAGAGTCTGGGCAGAGGTAGCTGGTGCCACTCACACTGCTGGCAGAGGGAGGGAGCAGGGGGAGACACACATTGCCCCTAAAATATTTACCAACGAATGGATGAAATCACTACCTAGGAGAGATTCTCCAGCACCAGAAACTCCTCTTCAAGGTTGAATAGGCATGTACATACACAGTAACTGAACCTGCTTTTGCTCCCATAGCTACAGCCAGCTTTAAGAGCCCACAGTCTACACACACACAAATTACCCAGCTTTGAGACTATTTTAATTCCCGGGTTTGCAATACTGCTGTCTCCAGGTTCCTAAACAACAGGATGCCTCATTACACATAACCTCATCTGCTTCGCTGCATGTCTTGGGAACAGGGCACTCAGGGACAGGACAAAAGCCACCTCTCTATCAACACAAGTGAAGCAAAACCCATGTTAAAAACTAATTAGCGGTAGGTCTTAACATTCTCCTCCCAAGGGTGATTTGAGAGCAGTGTTACTTTCCTTCACAGTGGGAATTACCCAAAGCGCCCGTACGAGACAGGAGCAGCGTGCAGCGACTGCAATGGCGAGCAGTGTGCCGACCGGCTGTGTCGTAAGTAGAAGTCAGCCAGCCCTCCTCCCCAATCACACATATAAAGGGAAAGAAACAAAATTTACTGGCAGGAGGCAGGCACAGCGCTCTCCTGCTTCTAAATATAGTCTGAAAAACTGCAGTCAGAAGCCCTGTAAGCAGTGATGCGCAAAGAGAGGGCATGAGGGTGGAAAGAGCCCATTTTCTGCCCTGGGGAGTGATGGAATGGGGTCTGCTTTTCAGGTGCTGGAGGGTATGGTACAGGAGGTATAGTGGCTGCTGTTTAAGGCGTTGTTACCCCCGCCAGAAGCTACTGGTTGCAGAAATGGGAAGCACAGAAGGGGACACATGTCCCCTTCCAGGGGCTCGAGGTTATTACCTGGTGCATGTGCTGTGGCTTCAGCTGGTGCAGGTCCAAGCCAACCTTGCTCCCTCCATGCCGCTGTGGAAGGGGAGAGCTGCCACGGCACTGCCAAAGCTGCTCGCTCCAGTGAACATCACTCAGGCCATCTGCTTTCCCCTAAGCACCAGCAGAGAACCAGGCTGACATGCGGGAGCCCTTCGCGGGGACGCAGTGCTCAGCCTGAGACCCTGGCAGCCCACCTGATTTTCCTGCACGTGGCTTTGCAATGGCTGGATGGAGTCAGGAGGGGAGGAGACCTTCTGCAGTTCCCGTAAGAAGGACAAGGCACTGTGCTGTGGACATCTGCCCAGAGGCAGCTGAGGTCACAATTTTCTCCAGCACTCGACTTTGGGTGAACTAACAGAGCGGGAAGGTGGCTTTAAAACACCAGCACCACAGGAACGAGAGGGAGTTCCTGGCACGTGGGGCAGTTCAATGTCAGCTACAGGCTGAGGATCTTAAACACAAGGCATTGGGCAAAAGCCAAAACGATCTTGGGAAGCATGCCTGGGGGAGGGAGTCCTCTCTACCCCAGCCACTGGTGGGAGAAGTCAATACGCTGTGATCAAGCGCTCCTCAGCAAAGCCCCGAGAGTCGCTGCAGGGCTCTTCCAAAGTCAGTGGGTCTTTGCTTCTTCCTGGAAAGAAACAAAGCTCCCATAGCTGTATTTATGAGCCCATCATGGGGCTCACACTTCATTCCCTTTTGCTTAGACTCAAACTGTTTGTAATGTGTAAGTCTGCTTACGTTCACTTCTTTTCTCTCTCCAGAAAATGCAGAGCGTGACGAAGTCATTAGTAAGTACCACCAGAATTACTGCTTCAATTTGTTGCCCTTGGTGCAGTTATACTTGAAAACAATTAACTCGTTTTGTTCATAGGCGATTCCAGGTGGCATCCGGACTGGGACAGACCTGCATGTGATGAGTACTGCATCACCGTTATTGTTTTAAGGCCGATACTCCTTATACTGGCAATTCTGGCCACTTGGCTCCTACCAAAATACTCATCTATAGCACCCGCCACCAAGTGAGACACTCGCAGAAGACCACAACAGCACTTAGGTCAACTCATCCCTTCCCTGCACCTAAGTTACCAGCAGCACAAATACCAGCAGAAACGTTGTTTGCACCCACAGGTGATTCAGAAATACAGAAATACCGTCTTTGTTGCAGGCAGCAGCTAGGAGAGCTGATAAGCAGCTTTCTCATTGCTCAGAAACAGTAACTGGTTTTAAATTACCCGTGTATTTTTTTCAAAGTGGAGCGGTGTGAGCGGGATCCGGTGGGTAAGGGCACACGCTGCCCAGGCAGCACGTGGAGCTGCAGGCAGCTGCCTGCCACACTTTCTTAGGAGGGGGGGGAGGGATCCCAGCCCAGGAGCCTGGCCCCAGCCCCAG